CCCAATAGAAACCGAGGGGCGGGGCGGGAGGCGGTAACCATGGGTACCCGCGCGAGGGACGCCCAGGAGGCTGCGCCCGGCTGAGAGAGGAGAGGCGCCCCCCGGCTGCTCAGGGGCGATCGGGCCCCCGGGGCGACCCTGGCTGCAGGCGGACACGCGCGGGGACCTCCGAGTTGGGCAGCCGGGACTTGAATCGTCTTCACCCCAAGAATGACTGATGGAGGGGGTCCCTCCTTTTAGGACTGGCATTCTCCGCCCCGGCTCCCAGCAAGACTAGGGGGTCCCTCCAATGGCCGAGATTAAGGGGAAGACCCGCTCCCCGTTTTTTCCTGGCCCCACGCTGACGCCTTCGAACCCCTCGAGCCGTTTGGGAAGGACCTCATGGCCTTTCCCACAAACCTCCCAAAGATGGAGCGATTATTTCCCACGTACCCCCAAACCTGAAACATAAATTGCGAAGGAGCTCTGTGACTTCGGGGGTCTCCCTCTCACCCCGCTCAGGGGCCTGGAGCAAACCTTACCTGCAGCCCCCGCCGCAGCGAGAAGCAGGGCGATGGCCCAGCACAGTCCCCAGTTGGCTCGTCTCATGCTCGCAGTCCCCGCCTGCAACGTCCCGACCCCGACCACGACCCGCAGCGTCCGCGATGGCAACCCGGGCTTCGTGCGACCCGGCAGCGACTGCACGCGGGCCCGAGTCATTTGCAGCATTTCAATGTGAGGTTTCTGCAGGGGGAGGAGTTTCTCTAGTGGGGTGATTTTCAAAAGTCTTCACCTCACTGCGAGAGGAGGAGTCTCAAACGGCCGATGTGACATCGCCGTTTTAACCCCTGAAGTCCTGTCTCGGAGGCCAGTCCTGCCAGGGACTCCCAGGCAGGAGGCTGGAGTTTTGCACTTTGGTCGCCCATGAAGCCCTCCCAGATTGGAAATGCAATCCCTTTGAAACTTCGACTTTTAACTGCCACGTTTTTGTTTTTGCTTTTTGATGCCCTCAGGATAACAACTTTGCTTTCAACTTCTCTAATAGCTTAATTAATGACTCTCCTCTTTGCTTCAAAAGGAAAAACTAAAAATATTGGAATTGGAACCCCCCCCACCTCCCCTACACACACACACACACACACACACACACACACATTCACTTCTTTCTGTTTGCTTTTTCCTTTCTAGGAATTGCATATAGATTTTTGGATAAGTTTAGCTACCTGTCAGTTTTAAAGCTGAAATTTAAATAGGCTTATAAACAGCGATCTGTGAAGAATTGAAATTAAATGTCACAAAAGTACAGACCCTAAAGTGATTTTTTGTTTTGTTGGTTTCAGGACTTGGATACATTTTGAGTCAAAACGTCTCTAAAATCAATTTACCCAATACCTGGGGTCTGGAGATAGGTATTGATTTATCCTTTCAGGAGAAAGAGTTAAACAAACATTTGGACAGTTCCCTCTTCCCAAAGCAAAATCAAAACCAAACAGCTTTCACGGATGAACCTGCTGGACTAAAACTCAGGCGACTAGTACAAAGCAATATTTATTTTTTTCTTTGTGTTATAGGGCGAGTGCACTCGCCAGACAGACAGAGAGAGCCAGAGAGACAGAAAGCGAGAAATCACCCCCCAGAGGGGATGGCCACGCCGCAATCCCTTCTCCCCCATTCTCCTCTCGGGATCTTGGGCACGCACGCACACGCGCCTGGCGTGAGTTTTAAGCCACCGGGTCCGGGATGCAAACTGCGATCTGGCGAGCTCACACTCCCTATAGCAAAAACCTATCCCCCCCCCAAAAAAAGGAACCCAATAAATAAAGTTAAATTATCTTTGAAGAAGGGGGGGGGGCGGCAGGTGGCATGGTGGTTAAGGGTGCTGGATTCCCACATGGTCGACTGCAGTTTGAATCCTGCACCTGGTAGCTTGCTTTATCATGTTCCCTCTCTTTATTGCTTGCTTGCTTACTCTGTACCTCTCTGGCCAAATGAAAATAAAGTTAAATAAAATAATTCTTCAAAAAGAAAAAAAAAAGAAAGAAAGAAATTTACAAGCAGGCTGGCAGTTAAGGGTTATCGGACTTGAGTGGGTAAATTCGCTTTGTCAACCTGTAAACCGTAGATAAGAATGTCGGCTTCTGCTACTTGGCAGGTGAATTATCAAGGTCAAATGGGATAATGAGCCATCACCTGGTCACCTTTATCAGGTTAGGCAATTTCTAGGCGTTGTTGCAATATTCAACGTGCTACCATTACATTTTATTCCTTAGCTCACATGCTACACGGTTGAAAAACAATCAGAATTGCTGGGTTTGAGTTGTTTAGAAAATGATGGGCCAGCAGGTGGCATGGAAGTTTAAGGAGCTTGATCTCACGTACTCAACTATGTGGTTCAAGTCCTGGACCTGGCAGCTTGAAACTCATGCTGGGTACATGCTCAAAGTCCTGAGAATGGAGAAGAGACGGTGGCATGGCCAACCTCCTTGGCAGGGTGAGTGATTTCTCACTTCATCCCCCTCTGGCAAGCACACGCACCCGATAGCAAAAACAAAAAGTTATGACATACGAACTCAGTTTGCATTCTTATCAACAAGATCTCTCTCTATTTATTTATTTTTTTGAGAAATTTTTGCAATAGGGCACGTGCACTTGCCAGACAGACAGAGACTGAGAGACAGAAAGTGAGAAATCACCTCCCAGGGGGGATGGTCACGCCGCAATCCCTTCTCCTCCATTCTCCTCTCGGGATCTTGGGCACGCATGCACACATGCCTGGCTTGAGTTTAAGCCACCAGGTCCGGGATTCAAACTGCGGTTGACTACGTGGGAGTCCAGCAACATAATCATTACACCATCTGCTGGTTTCAAGAGATTTTTTTTAAAGAGATTTTTACTATAAGGCATGTGTGCTCATTAGAGACAGAGACAGAAAGTGAGAAATCCCCCCCTGTAGGGATGGCCACGCGTCAATCCTTTCTCCTCCAGTCTCCCCTCAGTATCTTGGGTCCGCATGCACACTTGCCCCACGTGAGTTTTAAGCCGCGAGGTCAAGGACTTGAATCGTGCTCAACCACATGGGAGTCCAGGGACATAGCCATTATGCTCTCTGCTATTTCCGAGAGATTTTTGCTATAATGAACTTGTGCTTACCCGAGAGACAGAGACAGAAAGCAAGAAATCACCCCCCAGCCCCGGGGGGATGGCTACACCACAATCCCTTCGCTTTCATTCTCTCAGGATTTTTCGCACGCACCTAGCATGTTTCAAGCCACTGGGTCCAGGATTTGAACCACAGTCGACCATGTGGGAATTCAGTACCCTAATACCATGCCACTGGGTGGCCTCCTTTGACATTTTAGGCATGCACTCACACATGCCTGGCATGCTCCTCGAGCTGTCTGGTGTGGGACGCGAACCGAAAGGCTGGCCATGTGAGATCTAGCCACCTTACCCACCACACCACAGGCCGGCTCGTTATTTCTTTTTGTTGTTGTTGTTTTTTAATAAGTTTATTTATTTATTTATTTATTTTAATTTGACCGGAGAGAAGCAGAGAGAGAGAGAGAGAAAGTGAGAGAGCAAGCCACCAGGTCCGGGACCTGAACCGTGGTTGGCCATGTGGGAGGGTCCAGCACCTTAACCACCATGCCACCTGCTGGTCCCTCGTTATTTCTACTTCTAAGAACTTCAGTTTTCCCCTAGTAACTAGCTCATAGGGTTCTAGTGAGGATGAAGCATGTTAGTGATTATATAAAGTGATCAGGGCTGGGACCAGCAGATGGCCTAATGGTTATGTCACTGGAGTTCTGAGTAGCTGACTGTGGTTCGCGTCCCGGACCCGGCAGATTAAACTCACGCCGAGCGCGTGCGTGTGCGTGCCCAAGGTCTCGAGAGGAGAATGGAGGAGAAGGGATTGCAGCGTGGCCATCCCCCCCCGGGAGGGTGATTTCTCGCTTTCTGTCTCTATGTCTCTCTCTGTGTGTCTGGCGAGCGCATGCGCCCTACAGCAAAAACCTCTGGTAAAAAAAAATAATAATAAAATAAAGTGATCAGGGACACACGTGAGACAAAATAGATACCATATATGGGTTTGCTTTCTGCTGCAGTTGCCTGTGTGTTGCAATCACATTAAAAAAATCTCTTTAGGGAAGACCTGCCTAGTCCTGCCCTCTTCCTGATAGGCACTGGTAACCCTGCCATGGAATCCACTTTATCTGAAAGTTCTGAGGCTTCCAAAGGCAGCGAATACAACCCAGACAGGCTTTTCCTTTTCCTTTGTTTTGAGAGGTATTTGCTATAGGGTGGGTGTGCTAGCCAGAAAGACAGAGACAGAGAGACAGAAAGCGAGAAATCACTCCCCAGGGGGGATGGTCACACCGCACTCCCTTCTCCTCCATTCTCCTCTCGGGATCTTGGGCATGCACGCACACACGCCCAACGTGAGTTTAAGCCACCGGGTACGGGACTTGAACCATAGTTGACAACATGGGAGTACAGCGACACAGCCATTCTGCCAACTGCTGGTCCCTTCTTTTCTTAAAGAATTATTTTATATAACTTTATTTGCTTATTTATTTATTTATTTTTAATTTGACGGGAGAGACAGAGAGAGAAAAAGAGAGAAAGTGAGAAAGCAAGCCACCAGGCGTGGTTCTCCAACGTGGTCAGCGCTTTGGGAGTCCAGCGTCCTTAACCACCACGCCTCCTGCCAGGCCCAAGCCTGGGTCTGGGACTAGAATCACACAGTCGGCCATGCGGAATCCAGCCGCCTTTACTGACTAGGCCACCAGCTGGCCTGTGTTTTCAGATTCTAAGGACAGCCAGCCTGTTCCAACTGTCCGCTTCCAGCTCTCTAACCCGGAGGCTCAGACCAGAATAGATCTCTGAGTCCACCCGTTAGGCAGCCGTGGCAGCTGTGGTCCG